GGGGGAGATGGCTGTAAAGATGGGCTCAGGGTGGGGAAGGGGGATGCAGCGATTGGGATACAGAGCCAGCAGAAGGTGACAGCTTTGCAGATGGACCGAGGGCTGTGGGGGTGGGGGGACAAAGGCACGTAGAGGAGAGCAGCAGTGCCCAAAATGGGCTCAACCACAGGGGATAAAAACATCCTGTGGGGGGGACAATAATAGAAAGGGGAGAATAAAGGCACCTTAGGGGGAGAGGTGTGTGTGCAACTCGAAAATGAGTTTGGGGATGTGGTGACCTCAGGGATGGTTTGGAGTCAGGGAGATAAGAGAAGCAAAAGCACTGGGGGGGAAGGGGGGGAGGCAGCCCTACAGATGAGACCTATAGGGAAAATCAATGCCACCTGGGGGGGGTGGACTGACCAAGAGGGGATGAAGGGAACCCATTGGATTTGTAGGGTCCTCAAAGACCCCGAAGGATTTGGGTTGGCCAAGAGGAGATGAAGAATGAAAGCCAATGGATTTGTGGGGTCCTAAAGACCCCGAAGGATTTGGGCTGGGCAACATGGGATGAAAGGAACGCGCTGGGCTTGGGGATCCTCAAAGGTTCCTTTTGGGTCTTCGAGGACCCCCCCAAGTCCATCGGGTTCCCCTCATCAACCCTCGGCCGACCCAAATCGCTCAGGATTCCCTCAGATCCCTTCTTGCCCACCCCAAATCCACTGGGTTCCCTTCAGCCCGCACCCCCCCCGCCGCCCCCCCCCAACCCCCACCTGCTCGGCCGTGGCCGGGTCCAGCTCCACGCGGGCGGCCTCGTATTCATCCTCACTGTTGTATCCTCCGCCGGCTTCGTCGTGCCCGGGGCTTCCCCCGGAGCCCAACCCCAGCCCCAGGGCCAGGCCCCCACCGCCGGGCCCGGAGCCGCCCCCCGCGCTGGGCCCGGCCCCTCCGCGCCGCCGCCGTTTGCTGTGCCCGGGGCCGCCCCCTCCTCCTCCTCCCCCGGGGCCGCGGGGTTCGGGCAGCCCCAGGGCGGCCGCGTCGAGACCCAGCAACGAAGCGGGGCCGTCCGCGCCGCCGGGGCCGCCGCCTCCGCCGGGTCCGCCGGGGCCGGAGGGAGGCGGAGAGGCGGCGGAGGGCAGCCCGGCCCAGCCCCGCAGCGGCGGAGGGGGCGAGGCCCGGGGCCGCGGGCCCACGCCGGGCCCGCCGGGCTCCCCGACGCCGCCGGGGCCGCGCTCGGGGCCGGAGTCCGCCCCCCTCTCGGGGCCGGCGTCAGGGCCGGAGTCGGCATCGGCGTCGGGAGCCGGGACCGCTTTTTTCTTCGGAAGGATCGTCATGGCGGGGAGCGCATGGAAGGCCCCGCAGGGCCGGAGGGCCCCGCCGCGCCGGGACCCGGCCCCGCTGCTCCCCGCGGGCCCCGCGGAACCGGGGGGGCCCGAGCGAGGCCCCCCCGGGGCGGCGGCGGCGAGGGCGGGGCGGCGGGGCCGGGGCTGAAGGCTGAGGCTTAAAGCGCTGAGGCCGCCGGGCGCCGTGTCAACATCAACAGCGGCGACCTCTGACCCCCAGCGCCGCGCTTCCGGCTCGCCCCGGACGCCGCGCCGCCCTATTGGGCGACACCGCCCGCCCGGTGAGCGCCGATTGGTTGCGGGGAGCGCCGCTGGGAAGGCATTGGGTGGAGAGCGGGGAGGAAGTCCCGCCCCCTTCCCCCTTCCGCCCTCCCCGTGGAGGCGGGACGGGCGTCGCCGCGGTGACGGCGCGGCTGGGCGATGATTGGGCAGCGAGAAGGTCGGGGGCGGGGCTAAGAAGAAGCGGGGGCTGATTGGCCGAGAGGCGGGGAGGCGGGGCCGTCGGGAGGGAGAGCGTTCATTGGACGGCGCGGAGGCGGAGCACGAGGACGGCCGCGAGCAGCGATTGGTCCCCTCATACGCCCGCCCCAAACTCCTCAGCGCAGCGTCCCATTGGCCAGCGCAAGCGACCTAATTTCCCATTGGCTGCGGCTGGCAGGATGCGCCCTCCCCTCCGCTGTCACTCAGAACGTGGCCACGCCCCTCTCCTCCGCCGGGTCCCAGCGCCCACCTCAGGAACCCGGAGCTCCCTCCCCCCCCCCCACCGGGGACCCCCACCCCGTCCCCACCACACATCTCCATTTCCAGACTGTTTATTAAAATCCACCTCATCGCCCCCAAATCCCCATCACAGAAAGCAGAGCCCGATTCGGGGGCAGCCCGCGGTGGTCTGAAGCCCCCCCCCCATCCAGCTTTGTCCCTTTCCCCCGAATCAAAGAGCCCCGGGGGTCTCAAGTTGGCTTCAAGGTGACCCTGGGCTCCTCGGGCCCGGAGCCAGGGGGCTGCAGAGGTCTTGGGTGCAACAGAGGGCCCTCCGAGGGTCCCAGGTCCGGATGTGGGGGGCTGTGGGGCTTCTGGGTCGGGACCAAACAGGTCCTGGGGGTCAATGTGCCTTCTGCCGGGGGCTGTCGTGGGCACGCTGGGCAGCTGAGAGGTGCTTGCAGGCATCGGCGATGAGGGCGGCGGGCACCACCACCCAGATCCCATTGAGCCCCACAAAGTACACCCAAAAATAAAGCGGGCGGGGGTCGCTGTGGGTCCAACCCGCCCGCGCCTCCGTGGCGAAGTAAAGGATGTCCCCATAGAGCTGCCCTGTAGGGGGGGAGATGCGTCACGTTAGGGAGGAGGCGAAGAGGCAGCACCCCGTCCAGGTGACTCTGCATACCGAGGGAGACGACGAGCTGCAGCACGAAGCGGGCGGGATGGCGGCACAGGAAGGCGAGGAAGGTGAGGAAGCTGAGGGGGCCCCAAGCCCACGCCGTCACCGACTCCATGGCCACCGTGAAGTCATCGCTCCTGGAAGGGAGGGGAAGGGGGGCACACACACAGCTGGGTGCAGCAGAGACCCCTGTGGTCGCCCCATATCCCCCCACAGACCCCAACTCACGTCATGTAGCGGCTGTCTGCCTTGGCATATTCCTTCCCTGCGGGCCACAAGGGGTTAATTGGGAGGGGACAGCTCCTCACTGACCGCCCTCCCCGCCCCAATGCACCCTCCACCGACTGCCCTCTGAACAGAACTCACAGAACCTCCACCCACTCGGGGACCTGGGTGCCCCCTCCTCATCTGGGACCCCCCCAGGAGCCCCCATGAACACCCCGTGGGAGGCCCCAGATCCTCATTAACATCTCCCAGGCCCCTCCTCAACCCCAAATCCCCATTAATGCTCCCCAGATCCTCATTAACACCCCCTAGGAGTTCCCAGACCCCCACTGACGCCCCACAGGAAGCTACAGACCCCTACTAACCCCCATAGGAAGCACCCGATCCTTACTAACATCTCCCAGACCCCCATTAACCCCCCATAGGAGGTCCCAGATCCTCATGAACACCCCCAGACCCCCCGGAGGCGGCCCCATCACCTCCCCGTGACTCACAGATGTCGGCCAGCAGCCCGGTGTCGGCGGGCAGCTCCCGGTGCCGCAGGCTGAAGTACCCCTCGAGCACCCCGTGCACCCCGGCGCACACCAGGAACCAACTGGCGGCCAGGCGCCGGGCGGAGCTCCGCTCAGCCCCGCTCAGCGCCCAGCCCAGCGCCAGAAGCCCCGCCCCCGCCGCCGCCACCGCGCCTGCGCTCTGCCAGCCGGGTCGCGCACTGGTGACGTAACCCGGCAGCGACAGCGTGCGCGGCCAATAGGGGTGCACCGTTGTCTCCATGGCAACAGCGCCGCTCTCTCTGCGGGGAAAGGAGGAAACGCGCTCAAAGCGCGGCTCCGGGCCTCGAGGCAGCGCCGCAGCTTCACCGGGCGCTGCTCCCGGATCCGTCCGCTCCGTTTTCACCCCTGGAACGCTCCGCTTTCCCGGGAACCTCGCCGGGCTGGGCCTTCGCTCAACCGAACAGCCTGCCGCCCGACCGGAAGGCCTGCCATCCAACCGTAAGGCCTGCCGCCCGACCGGAAGGCCTACCTCTCCGCTCAGCGGGCTCTTCTCGCCCGCCGCACCGCTCGGGCGTCTTCTCTCCCGCGCCGCGCTCAACTCTGCTGCACTCTGCCCGCGTCGCCCCGCCCCCGGCCCTCCCCGCCCGCCGCCCGGCCAATTAGAGCGCGTTCTCCGCCTGCTCCAGCCAATGGCCTCGCTCCCCGCCCGCCAACACCGCTCGCTGATTGGTGGGGACGACAGCTGAGGCGATGTGGGGCCAGGGGGCGGGGCGGGAGGTGAGGCCAGGGCGTGGCTTCCGCGTGGGCGTGGCCACGACCATATTTGGAATGTGACGCTCCGCCCACCCAGGCTCTATGAGGTCCTACAGGCCCTGTAGGTTCTCTATAGGATTCCTCCAGGGCGGCACGTGGACCCCCACAGCTCCGCCCCACGAGCACGCAGGGGCTGCATGTACGTCATAGGGGCTGTACGTACATATGGGGCCCATATACTCTCCCAAGGAACTTCCACAGATCTCCAACACTAATGCATTCCCCCCATCGGCCCTATAGACCCCCTTAGGCACATACAGGGACACTACACCCCCC